ACATCTGGTAACCACTGCTGTTTTTATTATCTATAGTTTGTTGTTTTCCAGCATGTCAAGTAGTTGGAATCATAGAGTATGTAGCCTTTTTAGGTTGACTTCCTTTACTTAGCGATATAGATTTATGTTTCCTTCATGTATTTTCATGGCTTGACACCTCATTTCCTTTATACCACTAAATAATACTCCATTGCCTGTATGTATCACAGTTAATTTATCCATTCACCCACTGAAAGGCAGTTTGGTTGCTCCCAAGTTTGGGTAATTATAAATAAAGCTGCTAAAGACACCTGTGTGCACTCTTTTGTATAAACAAAAGTTTCAATTCCCCTGGGTGAATAACAAGGAAAATGATTGCTGGTTCACACAGTAAGGATATTTTTAGTTTTGTAAGACACTGCTAAATGGCCTTCCAAAGTGGCTGCACCATTTTGTATTCTTATCAACAATAAATGAAAGTTACTGTTGCTCCACATCCTTGTCAGCATTTGGTATTGTCACTGCTCTATATTTTGGTCATTCTAATAGGTGTGTAGTGTTATTTCATTGTTGATTTATGTGAATTTCCCTAATTACATAGGATGTGGAACATCTTTTCATGTATCTGTTTGCTATTTGGATATCTTCTTTGATGAGGTATCTGTTAAGGTCTTTGGTTCATTTTTAAGTTGGGTTATTTGTTTCTTATTGTTGAGTTTTAAGAGTTCTTTGCATATTTTGGATAAAAGTCACCTGTAAGTTGTGTCTTTTGCAAATATTTTCTTCCAGTCTGTTGCTTCTTCCTTGTTCCCTTAACACTCTCTTTTACTGGGCAGACTTATTAATTTTAACAAAGTCTAGCTTATCAATTATCTTTTTTCATGGATTGTGCAGTTGGTGTTATGTCTAAAAAATCATCACCATACCCAAGGTCATATAAGTTTTTAACTATGTTATCTTTCAAGATTTTCTATAGTTTTGCATTTTACATTTAGTCTCATGATTCATTTTGAAGTTGTTTGTTTGTTTGTTTGTTTTTGTTTTTGTTTTTCCAAAAACTATAATGTTCTGTCCAAATTTCTCTTTTACTTTTTTATATGGGGTTGGTGGTGGGTACTGGGTATATCTAGTTGTTCCAGCATCATTTGTTAAAAAGACTAACTCTTCTCCATTGCATTACCTCCATATTTATGTGAGTCTCTTTTGGAACTCTCTATTCTGTTCTATTGATTTATTTGTCTATTCTTTCTCCAATACCACACTGTCTTGAACTATAACTTTACAGTAAGTCTTGACGTAGGATGATGTGAGTCCTCTAACTTTGTTGTTCTCCTTCAATATTGTGCTGGCTATTCTGGGTCTTTTGTGTCTTTACACACATTTTAGAATCAATTTGTTAATATTAAGAAAATAACTTGATTTGATTTTGTTTGGGATTGTGTAGAATCCATAGGTATATTTGAGAAGAACTAATATCTCAACAAATATTGAGTTTTCCTATCCATGAACATGGAATATCTCTTCATTTATTAAGATCTTCTTGGATTTTGTTCATCAGAGCTTTAAGTACTCTTTATATTGCTTTCAAACCCTGCATTCAGAGACTCATCCCGTGAACCTCAAACTTACAGTAATAATTGGATGTGAAATGGCTCTAGAGTTTACGCTGGCAAATCTTCCCAAACTTCAGGTTATTCAAGTCAAGCTCTGCCTTGAATGTTTGGTCATTTAAAGCTTCACTCAGATAGAAGTACCTAAGTTGGTCACAGGGGCTACATCTCAGCATCCAGCTAGAGAACTATAGTTGAGTTTTACCTTTTTACAGAAATCTATATTTTTAAGAAATGATTCTCGTTGATGCACCCCCAATATAATTTGGTGTACTTACAGTGCTCTCTTCTTATCTCCTTGTGAATCTTGCAATTCTATAACAGTTATAATTGCATCATATTCTCCCTAGTCTTCCTCATGTACAAATGGGTACATATTGGTGTCTAGGGTGATTTTTCTACCTTTTTAGTAAACCTAATAATTAGTGGCTCATTTTTAATTCTCTTTAGACTTTAAAATATCTATTTCTTTTTGCTTTGTTGTCATCCGATATTACTAAACAAGTGAAAAATATCCACTCCACACCTGTCACATATTTAAAACAATAGCCCAGTGAATATAACATTGACTTTATCATAGATAATTTTAAATGCTTTAACATCTTAAAAACATGGAATAAAAATTGTAACAACAGGTTTTATCATTTTGGAGGTTTATGGAAGTCCTGACTACCGGAAATTTCTAGTACCTAAGGTAAGTTTAGTTGTGGAAATGGTTATGTTAAGTATTCTTAACATAAATGAGTTGAATGCTAGGCAATTCTGAGAAGTACACATTTGTTAGGAAAACATCTCTTTGGTGTCCATAAGTTTTTATTATTTAAATTCCAAATCTACACATATCTGTACATTTTACAACAGGGTATTTTTTGAAGTTGCTTTTTGGAACCTCGCCACATTATTCTAAATCAACAGCCAGTATCTATTTGCCTCTCATGATATGTGTAGCAATTATTCTTTAAACTTTTAACTTAGAGAGAAACTGCTTTAAGTACAAGCAATATAATATAACATAAAGTTTGGTAAAGAGATTTTTTTTTTTCATTTTTTCCCCTGGGAATTCAGTACCATTCTGGAATCCCAGGCGATTGGAGTCTGAGAATATTTGGAAACATTACTTCTGGCCAAAGCATTGATTTTGTAATAGTCTACTGAGTAAACAGCAAGAGCAAAGCTTTTCTATGTGGCTTTGCAAAGCAGCCAGGGTTTAGATATATGGGTACGTGCACAGGTGTGTTACATGGGTATATTGTATGACCAAATTTATAAATCTTTCATTGAACATTTTAAAAAACAAAACAAAAGTTTGACGTGTAATTCAGTAATGCACCATTTTTCACTTGATTGTTTTTGCCCAATATGACAAATGTTTTCTTCAGTATGGTGCAAAGTTAATTATTTGGTATAAGTGTGAATGAAGATAGGCCAAATATATTTTGTAACATAGTTTTTTATTGGAAATGATTAGAGATTTATTTTACTTGTTTTAAAAGTAGGTGTACCCAATGGAAGATTTTTTTTAAAGAATAGATTTTGGCCTGGTGCGGTGGCTCATGCCTGTAATCCCAGCAGTTTGGGAGGCTGAGGCGGGCAGATCACCTGAGGTCAGGAGTTTGAGACCAGCCTGACCAATATGGTGAAACCCTGTCTCGACTAAAAATACAAAAATTAGTCTTAGTGGCGGGTGCCTGTAATCCCAGCTACTCAGGAGTTTGAGACAGGAGAATAGCTTGAACTCAGGAGGCGGAGGTTGCAGTGAGCCGAGATTGTTCCACTGAACTCCAGCCTGGGCGACAGAGCGAGACTCCGTCTCAAAACAAAACAAAGCAAAAACAAAACAAAACAAAATTAGATTTTAACCTATTATACTATTATTTAGTTTCCTGGGAAAATAAGGGTTAAGGAATTTTCCTTCAACTTCTACAAATATAGGAAGTTTTTCTTTTTCTTTTCTAGAAAGAAGTAAAATTAGGAAATGATGAACCTTCCTATCTAGCTGTTTGTTAAGGCTTCTGTACATGCATTGGTTGACCTGAAACTCCAAGGGCCTTTTCAAGGTTGGTTTTTTTTTTTTTTTGCCTCCAAAGACTTATTAGAATTTTTTGAATTATTCCCACTGTGCTGATTTGTAACTGTTTTAAAGTTTATATTTATTTATAAAAGTTGCTTCTGCAAAAAAGATAGTGTAAGGAAATAAAGGGAGTTATTTACACAGTTCTGTTTGCTCATTATAAAACACTTCGAAGTGTCATGTTATTTCTTGATATTAAAATTACCTCAAAAATTCCAAGAATAAACAATCCCAAGGAATAAAAAAATTGCTTACTTCTTCCTGACAGTAACCATGTTAGACATTATAAGGTACCACTGACTGAAATAATACATGAATCATGACGTTGTTTACAATGTTCTCATAGTAAAATGAACCAATAGCCAAACAACTTAGGGTATAAGACAACAACAAAATACATGCCAATTATCAGATGAATTTGATGTATTTAATTATTTAAAAATATTATTATGGAAATAAGTTTAAAATATTAACATTTTTAAAATCAGTTAAAAATAAAATTTAAAAATCATGTAAGTTTCATTAGCATGGTACATTTCTCTCACCAGTACTGAACCAAAATCTATCCCACAAAAAATACAAAAATATTATAGGGCAAATTAAAGTCTGTGTTCTTCACACAGCCTGGCATGTTAAAAGTTGCAATTCCAAGAGACTTGATCAGTGTGTCCAGTAGCCCCACCACAAAATATCTATTATTGAGAAATGCATATTCAATTGCAAATATGACTTACAGGAAATATAGATAATTGTATGAACATTCTGTATTTCCCCTGTGAGATAAAAGCAGTTGTTTAATTAACCATCGTCCTTTCTAGTGATCCAGGGATCATTTCCCCAAAGCCAGTCACACTTTTAAATGCTATTACTAAAATATAGCAACCATGTAGTGCCAGTGCAAGGCATGTTAGACTGTCTAAGGTATTAACTTCATTAGGAAGATTTGAGCTATCAATAGATTTCAAGATCAGTGAACATTTCTCTGAAAATACTGCATATCTTTAAAAAATCATTAAATTTCTAATTACAGAAGAAATATGAGGTTTCATTTGGTAAGATACATCCAGATTTTTTTTATGATGTTATATTTCCCAATTTTGTTAAACATCTCCATTTATCTGTACATCTGTGTATTACAAAAGCATTCTCTGAAAAATAAATAATGAAATATTAATTATCAGAAAAGGAATAATTTTATACTTCACTAAATAAAAGAAAACGAATAATGAGACCTTCATTCTGGAAAGCAACAGAATGCTAAAGAAGAGAGTATTAATAAAACAGTAGCTATGTAATAAAGAAGTGCTGTGGTTTATAACTACACAAAGTACTTTTAATTTAGGTACTATGGCAATTTATTCATTTACATGTAGGATTGTTAAAAGTGCTGCTCCATTTAGATAAATTTCATAACAATCTCAGATTCCTGTTGTACTCCAAATACTGAAGATATAATTGCATTCATCCATAATAATTTTATGAGAAAACATATATTTATAAAAAAGTTAGCTAAAATAAGAGGTAAAGTCTATTTTCTAAAAAAAAGGCCAAAGTTGGCCTGCTTAATGGGACATGAAAAAAACTATTTGGCCTCATTAAAATATTACCAACTAAATTAGTGAACTTAATTAAATGACATCAAGTTATCAAAATGCCATGCGACAAATAAGACAGTACATTCTCTAGAGTGATGTAGTAATCGTGGCAACTCAACATCAGTTTGCAAGTTTTTTTTTAAATCAGTATAAATTTGTGGTAGTGACTGCAACATCACTGCTGATCAATCTCTTTGTTTAGCGAATATATGCAAAGTAATCTGTAGGCTTTTTAGGATATAGAAAGACTGAGAGGAGTATTTAGAGGTACATCATATGACATTATAAACCTCTAATTGTCTAAACTTTTATTAAAATTTAAATGCCTCCAGGAAAGATGAAAAATGTGCAATGGTAATTATTAAAAATTCAAGAAACTCACCATTTTTGGATATCCTTATTCATATTTCACATGGATTGTACACTATAGAACTTATTACTCAATGAAAAGCCATTCATCCTAGTATTGCTTTCTGCCACTGTTAATATCAGAATTCTGAGAGGCAGTTGGTTGAGGCATTTTAGGATGTACTAGATATTGTAACTACTATAAAATCTTGATGCCTTCATCAACTCCTATATTTTTTCAAAACAAAATATGGCATAATTTTAGACCCATAACAAGTTTAGAATTGTTCCAAAATGTAGGTAAGCATGATAATGCATATGAAGTTTTTCATAAGTTTTGATGAATATACCAGGAATATGATGTTTCTAATCCTGATGACAAGAATGATAGTGAAGCTGGTTTTGCAATAGCAGTGAGAGAGTAATGGTTGTAATCACTGTCACATGTTACCTATTATTTTGGGACTTACAAGGGCATGGAAGCCTGAAATCACCAGAGTTGTTCCTTTCCTTTTGCTACTGAGGACATTCCTTTGAGAACGTACAATATGGAAAATACACAGGTAAGATGTTACATATCTTAAGAGTAGAATTAAAACATAGAATTACTTAAATGAGCCACAGTTTAGAAAGATTCCGTACACCGTAAATTTTTACCTACTCACTTCAGGAGGGGATATCTATTTGAAATTATTTTGACTATAAAATGAAATATGCATTTTTGGAATTAAATTTAAAAAGTATATAAAATAATTGATACAATATTTACCCAACTCCAATTTTGAAAGAAATTATTTTTCTAACACATGCTCCTGTAATTGCTAAATTTTGGTACTAAGAATGACCTCCTGTAAAGAAAAAATTTGCATAATTTAATGTTGGCCAAAATATTTTGTTCCAAGTAAGATATAGTATTTGAGTTCATAATAGTTGAATTAGTGCTTTTGTGACTAGATCAGCTGACGTACAAAAGTAAGTGTATGTACCCTGCTTCTGATAATGAAGTTCTAAAGAAGATGGTCAGTCATGAGAGGAGCTATTTTGGGGGAGAAAAGTTGAGATGAGTGTTGGGAGGATACTTCTCTATTGTAAATCATATTTGTTTGGAAGTTTTAAAAAAATATAACTTAAACAATGTAACTGTAACTCTGTGTATACTAAGAAATGGGGGCCCAGTGAAGTTGAATTATGGTTCAAAAGACAATATAAAAATGTCATAAATTATTAGGCTCATGGAGACTACAGAGAAGCACCAAAATCATAAGCATATATTATGTTTATTTATTAAGTTTCTTGTGTATGTGTGTGTGTGTGTGTACTGAGCATGTTGGTATATGTATATATAGTGGATGAATGGTGTAAAATGCACTGTATTTAGTAGAAGTGTGATTAACATAATTTAATATTAGAATGTCAAACTAGCCCATTATTTATCTTTATTGCATCCTGAAATCACTTAAAAATTAGTACACTATTCTATTTTAATTATCTATCTACACTCTTTCTACTTTATCCTACAAAATAGCATGCCTATGATGAAGAATACGAGTGCAGACTATGACTACTCGTGAGAGAAAAGTTACATCTAGGTGGTAAACAATGAGTAAGATTTATACAAAATGTTTATTTTTCCTTAATTTTATCTTATTGTAAACATCATTTCTGCTTCAGAGAAACAGAATGGTGAGACAACTGAGAATAAAGATGTTTTATTGATGTTATTAATATTTTTGAGATTATCTCTATATTGATTTAATACCCTTTGATGCACACACTTTGATTTTTAGAGAGAAACTCGTCTAAGATATGATCTGTGAAAATCACACCAGGGTCACTGAATTTATTCTTCTTGGTTTTACAAACAACCCCGAGATGCAAGTTTCCCTCTTTATTTTGTTCCTGGCCATTTATACAGTCACTTTGTTGGGCAACTTTCTTATTGTCACAGTTACCAGTGTGGATCCCGCACTTCAAACACCCATGTACTTCTTTCTTCGAAATCTATCACTTCTTGAAGTATGTTTCACCTTGGTTATGGTGCCAAAGATGCTTGTAGATCTAGTGTCCCCAAGAAAAATCATCTCTTTTGTGGGCTGTGGTACCCAGATGTACTTCTTCTTCTTATTTGGCAGTTCTGAATGTTTCCTTCTCTCCATGATGGCTTATGATCGCTTTGTGGCCATCTGTAACCCTCTCCGTTATTCAGTCATAATGAACAGGTCCCTATGCTGGTGGATGGCCATGGGTTCTTGGATGTCCGGTGTTCCTGTGTCTATGCTACAGACGGCTTGGATGATGGCCCTGCCTTTCTGTGGACCAAATGCCGTGGACCACTTTTTCTGTGATGGTCCCCCAGTGTTAAAACTAGTCACAGTGGATACAACCATGTATGAAATGCAAGCACTTGCCTCCACACTCCTGTTTATCATGTTTCCCTTTTCTCTCATTTTGGTTTCCTACACCCGCATTATCATAACAATTCTGAGGATGTCCTCTGCCACTGGTCGCCAGAAGGCATTTTCTACTTGTTCCTCACACCTCATTGTGGTGTCTCTCTTCTATGGAACAGCCAGTCTGACCTACCTGAGGCCCAAATCAAACCAGTCTCCTGAGAGCAAGAAGCTAGTGTCATTGTCCTACACTGTCATCACACCTATGCTAAACCCCATCATCTACAGCCTGAGGAACAATGAAGTGAAAGGGGCTGCCAAGAGGACAATCACTCAAAAAGTCTTACAGAAGTTAGATGTGTTTTGACTTATTTTTATTATTTTTTATTATTTTATTTTTTAATGATACTTTAAGTTCTAGGGTACATGTGCACAACGTGCAGGTTCGTTACATATGTATACATGTGCCCTGTTGTTGTGCTGCACACACTAACTCGTCATTTACATTAGGTATATCTCCTAATGTTATCCCTCCCCCCTCCCCCCACCCCATGACAGGCTCTGGTGTGTGATGTTCCCCTTCCTGTGTCCTAGTGTTCTCATTGTTCAATTCCCACCTATGAGCGAGAACATGCTGTGTTCAGTTATTTTGTTCTTGCAATAGTTTGCTGAGAATGATGGTTTCCAGCTTCATCCATGTCCCTACAAAGGACATGAACTCATCCTTTTTTATGGCTGCATAGTATACCATGGTGTATATGTGCCACATTTTCTTAATCCAGTCTATCATTGATGGACATTTGGGTTGGTTCCAAGTCTTTGCTATTGTGAATAGTGCCGCAGTAAATAAAAAGTCAGGAATCAACAGGTGCTGGAGAGGATGTGGAGAAATAGGAACACTTTTACGCTGTTGGTGGGACTGTAAACTAGTTCAACCATTGTGGAAGACAGTGTAGTGATTCCTCAAGGATCTAGAACTAGAAATGCCATTTGACTCAGCCATCCTATTACTGGGTATATACCCAAAGGATTATAAATGGTGCTGCTATAAAGACCCATGCACACGTATGTTTATTGTGTTTTGACTTCTATTGTGTAGAATGCTTCCAAAGTAGGAACAGCAGAACCTACTATCTAAAGCTTAAAACAGAGTGGAAGACCATTTCATCACTAACTGGTGGGTGCATTTCTGTATATCATTCAGGGTCCTAGCAGGAAAGAGTGGTATTCCTGAATCGGGATAAGTGAGAAAACACTTTATGAGAGGGCTATTTAAAAATTGTGAACAAGGTTAGGTAATAGCCACACAGATCATACAAAAGAAATTTTACACTTCTTGGCCTGAAGGGGCAAGTAGAAGAAGTGTTAACTGGAACCAACAGAATGCTAAAACTATGTAAAAAAAAAAAAAAAAAAAATTCACCTAATAGGATCTCTGTTCTTTAGTACAGCAAGGCAGCCATCCCAGCCTTATTTTGATCTGACTCTCTCAAATCTATTGCTGGCTTCTATTCTCAGCCAAACCAAATACAACATGGGGACAAGAATGTCTGTTGATGCAATATATAAATGCCAGCCACCTGGGGCACAGAACAAGATGAAAAAGAGTAAGAAAAGTTATGAAAGATAAGTAAAAACAGCCATCACAAACCACTGTATAATCTGCAGCTATTGCGATGTAACAATGAATCATGGCATCTAACCTTGCAAAAATTATAAAAAGTAGAGTTTTGCAGATGCCAAGAGTCCATAATACAAATTCTTTATATGGGTTGTATGCTTAAATAAAGTTATTTAATAAAATTACGTTAGTGTTAATATTTCATAACATGATTTTGGGCTTCTTTGGTCGTTGGCTAAATTATCCATTAATTATTTAATAATAAGCTCTTCTTACAGTTTAAACAACAAATATTTGGTTGACACCAGAGTAAAGCAAAGAGTAATAGTAATAGCAAACATGGTTTATTGAGGCATTGTCCTTGACACATGCCCTTGCAACAACTCAAGAGATAATTATTATATCTATATTTTCCATAAAAGATAAATTACAATTAGAAAATGTAAGTAACTTGGCAAGGTAAAAGCTATTGAGATGTGGCCATGATAGTTTGAACAGACTCTTCTGAATTTGAAATTCAATATGTTAATCTCTTAAAAATATCTACTCACATTTTTATTAAGGTAAAGTTGCCACCTACAAAGGAATTTGGCTTTCAAAACCATGGAGGAGACAAAATAAGATTGTCAAATTTAATTATGCAAAATTTATATTTCCAGTAGAACAAGCATATATTGGCTTTGAATATGCAACTTGAACAATAATATATGTTCCTGTAAGTCTTCCTTAGCCAAGGTTTCTGTTAATTGTACCGCTTCTTCTTCAAGCAGTAACTAACCTCCATGCTTATTTGTCAATTTTCAGAAAAATTTAAAAGCCACCACAAATTTGCAACTTGTGTTGACTATTTTAGTTTAATTTTGATTTGCTGAAGTACATATCTACTGCACGTAATGGGAGTTTGAGGTAAAAAAATCTATTCCTTTAAATCTTTCTCCTTCAATAATCTCTTAATTTTTAAGCCTAACCCAGATATTCTTGAATTAACATAACTAAGTTCAATAACCATCTCGTAAGACTCCATTACAATGGTTTTCTACCAGCTGCTTGTAACTCACAAGTAGATTGGGAGGCTATAAAATGAATTTAGTAGTGCATGTTAATGTGTCCAACAAACTAGCACAGTAAAAATAAGTATATTCTTGACAATTAAAGCTTGTATATATTTAGGGGGTACAACATGATGTTATATATATAACAATTATGAGAACAAAAATATATATTTAAGATATATATTCATATGTATATACCCATACACACACATTGTGGAATGGCTAAATCAAGCTATTTTAACCTATGCATTACTTCACAGACTTATCAACTTTTTGTGGTGAGAAAACCCACAGGCTATTTCTGGTTCTTTCATTCACTATCTTATTGTTCTTGGTTGAAACAGAAACTATTTGAAAATCACTCTAATAATCTGTAAAGAAGGTTCTAGAACTGTAAGAAACTAAAATTTGACAACCATAAATAATAAGGAATGCTTTGTGATTGACATGGGAACACTCATAGTGGAGGTCTAGTAGGACTTAGTCACTTTGCAAGTTAATTGGTGTTTCCTCTTTTTCTTACACACTTTCTTACAGATTCAGCTTTTACATCTTTCATAAATTTACAGGCTATATTTATAGCCTGTGTTATTTATGGTATTTTGTTTCTCTTAAGCATTTTTTATAAAATATACATAGTCACTGTAGTGGACTGGATTGTTTTCCCCAAAAAGATATGTTGATGTTCTCATCCTTGATACCTGTGAATGTGACCTTACTTAGAAACAAGGCCTTTGCAGTGTAAGCAATTTAAGATGAAGTTAAACTAGACTAGGGTGGATCCTAAATCCAATGGCTAATATTGTCATATAAAAAGAGAGAGAGAGATTTGAAGACACAGAGTTGTACACACAGGGAAAACAGTTATGTGAAGATGGATGTAGAAATTGGAGCGATGACTGGGCAAACCAAGGAACACCAAGGATTGTTGACCACCACATCGAAGGAGAGGAGCATGGAACAGATTTTCCCTTAGAGACTTCAGAAGAAACAGACATGCTGACATCTTAATTCCAGACTTCTGGCTTCCTAAACTGTAAGAGGATAAATCACTGCTGTTTTAAACCACTCAGTTAGGTGATTAGTAATTAGGTGATTTTTCGTGAGCTGTGTGGTAGATGGATTAAAAAAGGAAAAGAAAAAAAGAAAAAAAATAGCCATGCCCTTTATGATGTGACTCAAGTGCTTCTCATCAGGATTGTGTCCATTTCCTTATCTCTTGAATCTAGTCTAGATGTGTGACTTGTTTTACAAAATGAATGTGACAGAAGGAATATTCAGAGTGTAAGGGTCAAGAAACCATGCATGCATCTACTCTCTCTCTCTCTCTGGCATATATGTGATTCTCATGAGAACAAGCCAAAGCTAGCATGCTGGAAAAAGACAGATGTTTTGAAGCAGGGTTGAATTATCCCAGAAGAGACCATTCTAGATCAGCTTATAGCTAGCTGCTTCCAAAAAAATGTGGAGGAACCTAGTTCAGAACCGGCATATCTGCCTAGCCAACCTATAAGTCAAGAACAATTACAAATAATTATTGCTTGAATACACTATGTTTAATGGAAATCTGTTACATAGAAATGGCTAAGTGATAAAAGATGCACTCCAAATAATAAGTTAAGGATCACATCTGTCAGACTCATCCTTGACTCAATAACTGAAATTGTTCCCACTGTGAAGCCTGGTGCAGGGAAGCCTTAACAGATCTGGTACTTACCTTTCTTTTTTTTTTCTTGCATGAAATGAATAATATCTTGCTCTATTTATTGGTTCAAATTTACTATCTATTAAGTTCAAATAATTTCCATTTAAATTTAAAGAGAAGTATTTTAAATATTCTTTTCCATTAGAAATACATAAGCTCTCTAGTGTCACAATTCTCTATGGATGCCAGACATTTTGGTAGCTATTCTGAGCATTAAAAATCTTATCAGAGCTTTAACTGGTCTCAGTTAAAGAAATTATTTCAAGGGTCATCAGGTTCAGAGAAGAGGTTCCTCCTGAAGAGTTCAAGGAATAAAAGTGCTAAAATTTGCAGTATCTCTAAGTTTTCAGTCCTGTGCATTTTTCACCAGCCTCTCAGAGCACAGCACATTTTTTTCTTTTTAATGTTTTTTTTAAATTGTATATATTTATGGTGTTTTGAGATATGTATACAATGTGTAATGACTAAGCTTATTAACATATACTTTACCTCACATTTTTTTGTGAGCACACAAAATCTACTCTCTTAGTTCATTGATTTCTTCCTTGAATATGTATTTATTGCATGCCTGCAATGGCCCTGGCACACTTCTATATCCTTAGCATAAAGCTGCCATCAAGATTTATGAATATAAATGTAAAATTGAGAATATGAAGGATTAAGAACAGGTACAGAGCACTTGGAGAGGACTTCCAGTTTTAGCACCTACATGTAAAGATCTTGGAAGTCTTCACTTCCATCTCTACAACAAAAGAAAAGCAGAATAAACTGAAAATCAATGACTTTCCTTGTACCCATCTAAGAACCAAGGTCACAAGATAAACCATGACCCCCAAATCTGGAGACAGGCTCATCCGGAGAGATGCAATCAAGATTTGCTTTCCAGGAGCAGAAGCTGCTGAAGCCATAACTTGTAGAAGCACTTCGATGGTAACTTTGATGAATTGCTGGAGGCTGAGTGTGGTGTAACATGAGTGTGAGAAACTCCT